CTCATTGACTAAAAACCGCACCGTTCCTCATCTTGCTTTAGACCGAGGCCGCTGTACCTACCTATATTGCGCTGGTCCCGCAACTCTATTATAAGGGTCTCAAGAATGTCTACTTAGATATTATATTATGGAAATTTTTCCTTGCTTCTTACATTACGTAGGTTCTTACTTTCTACTTTCTATCTAGGTACATGGGCAGTCTCAGATTTATTATGCATTCCCACCCCATCCATCAACAATGTAGTCACCAATTAGACAAATTAAAAAGTTTTTTTTAAAGTACAAAACTAGGTAGGTACAATTTAATGTACTTAGTATGAAATAGAAATTATGACGTCATGCCTTTTTTCTTTATACTTCTTGTAAAATTGCTAGAAAAATACGATATTACTTATATTAAGTACCTAGGTAATTGTATTTCTTTCAACAATTATTGTGATTAAGTATTTTAGGTCATACTAAATGTTTTAAAAATATGAATAAATTATTTTTTACTGAGGAGTTCACCCTTTTGATATACCTATTACCTACGCTGTTAGCAGTAACAAGCTGTTGGAACTTTTCTTCGTTCTAAACAGTTGATGTTTGTTGTCACTGGTAGGTACCTACACGGGAGCTGTCCAAACTTAGTTCCTGTGATGGATCACCGCAAATTTGTAACTGTGATGTTAGAACTGTGGTTATATTTGTTTAATAAATCGGTGCAAGTTTAAAATAGTATGCTTTAAGTTTTTACTGGTTAGTCAGTAGGGTATACCTTCACAATAACGTTTAAAATTGAAAATATTAAGGGCCTATTTCACAATGCTTGATAAATACGTAGAACAGATAAATTTGAATATCTACCTACTTAAAAAAAATAGTACGAATCTGTTGAAACTCTATGCCACTTGGATCGTATTTAATTAGGTAGGTAAATGTCCTTTACCCTTTCTATTTTATTTAGGAATGTATTTTATTTTATAAGACCGCAACCGAGCTTACGGATTTTAACTATGAAGCAGTTACGAGTACGTTGCCGACCGGACATTTGTGGATCAGGGATTTGGAGATTTTGGAATTAGGGAGGGATTAAGGGAGGGGAAGGGGCCTCCGGTAACCTCACTCACACGGCACTTTGCAACGTTTTCTCTGAGGACGTATCGCTCCAGACAAGCTGACCCATTTGTGCCGAAGCATGGCTCTACCACACTTTTTTTTCACTCCCTCTATGCATTTTAACCGCTAATAATTGTAAAGATTCATAATTTCTATATGTAGTGGGTAGGTAGCTCACTCACTCTTGGTTATTCACAAAAATCTGTCGCTGGCTGTCCCGTGTGATGGATCACCGTCGCATATTGTGCGCGCAAATTATGCTTTTCTACGTAAAATTTTTAAATAGGTATACCTTTATAAATGTAGATTGACATGTTTGTTAGCACTTTTTTGCAGCCTCTTACCATATAGGTAGGTAAGAGTAATGCCGATCGTGTATTTTGTTATGGAAATTGATATGTCTACCAAATTTATTCCAAAAGAATTACGAGTGATTCCAGTTGGTCGGATACTAGAGCTGAAAGTAGGTAGTAGGTAGGTTATTTAATGGTAGGGGAGAGTCGGGTAGCCACGGACACATAAACAAAACTCAAATTATTTTTTAAATAAACATTATTAGTCATATATTTAGAATCAAACCATTAAATAAAATATATATAAAGTATTTTAGTATAAGTAACGATCAGATAATTCCTTAATCTTAACTGTAATCAAGTCTAATAAACAGTATTGTATTTTTAACAATAATTTTTTTGGCGGGTAGCCCCGGACATCATTTATTGGTGATGATCAAGTGGCTTTACGGCTTTTCAGACGTCACAAAAATAGTAAACCTGTGAAGGATCAATATCTACGCATGCTTCATGCTCCCAGTCTTTGCATTTATGACATTGTATCCAATCTACTTCAAATGTTTCTCCACAAATAATGCACTCGGTATCTTGGTCTCTTGACAGTTCTTGGATGTTCCGTTTGGTTTTCATTTTATTTTTCCCTTTCCCTTTGCCCTCTTTACAGTCTCTGCCGCTTCAGATTCGTTACCTAATATTGTGTGTTTTTTTTAATAAAGATTATTTAAATGGAGAAGATGACAGAATTCCGCTCTTTTGAGTTTTTCGTGAACGCGTCTTCGAATCTCCCTAGTTTTGGAACTAAGTTAACCTCTTGTCGAATATTAAGTGCTTTTATTCGATTCCGAAGAGTACTCGGCACCTGACACCTGCCATCTGCTTCTCCCAAAAAATAGTTCTTTTCTTTAACACTTGTATAGCCTGTTTCATTTTATCTGCATCCCAATTCCTTCGTTTAGTGACTCTTTCCTCAAATTTTGGCAATTTCCAGAGCTTCTGCATAAAATAAATAGCCTATATTTACTCTTCCTATCATAAAAACATCTGTAATATCAGAAAACGCGATAAAAACATTTAAATACAGATTTTCCTTCAGCTCAAAAAGTGTCCGTGGATACCCGACAAAATTGTGTCCGGTTTTACCCGACCGCCTCGATCCAACATTCTATTTATTTTTAAAAATATTATAAATCCCATCGATATAGAAAAACATACCCTTTAACTGTGACGATTACTACATAGAAAAATGTATAAATCACGCTTATGTACTTATATTCAATATCTATAAACTGTATTTAAACAGTAAACGGCGTAAGAAAAAATGTTCTGTGATGAAAACAATCAGCTGTCATTTATTGTCTGCTCGACGATGGTGGCACTACTGCGGCGAATATTCAACTAAGCGATGCTCCGAATGTTTTGATGTTTACACTTTTTGTCTATGTATGCCTGCTTGCCTGGGATAGTCAGTGGCCGGAGCTACCCGCCGGCCGGGGCTACCCGAATCTCCCCTACGTATCTAGTTAAGTACCTACCTACTTAACTATTGGTATAGGTATTACCTTTTTAAGTTTGTACCTTGGTTTTTTTTCTTATCCTCATGCAATATTAAACTGTAGGTGGATTTTTTTTAAAACTTCATGCACAACCGATATTATACACCAGGCGGAGTTAATGCAATGAGCATTTTCTTCCAGTCTACCTTTGGGTTTAGGTAATAAATGAAGAATTCTCCGCAAACAAACTTAGGGCGATGAAGATTCTTTTTTGCGATGGGTCGGCAAACACGCACTCGGATTACCTGGTAAGCAATTGGCCCATGGACATATGGTTTTGCGCAGTCTGCTTCGTAACGTATCGCGGGACCAATGACGATACCTAATCCTCTATGCGCGGGACGATCTACTTACATACAGTATGCGAAATTCTTTGTCTGATCACAATTTGTTGTTTCGGGTATCCGGGTATCAGATGTTTGCCGAGGTTGCGGGGTAAGTGCAATGAGGCACCGCGACCTCGGCCCAGAGCAGAAGGAGCGCGAGGGTTTTTAGTCAGTAAGAGTCTGACACTCTCTCTCGCCTTACCCTGGGCGGGAGAAGTCATTGGATGATTTTCCCGTGACAAAAAAGGTGTTTGTAAAGGCACAAAAACAGGTCTTGTACTTATCTAAGTACAAAGTACCCACATAAATTACTAGGTATGAGTAAGGTAAGAGGAACCGTATTAATCACAATAGGATAGGCCATCCTACGTCCTACCTATACTTTTATTATAGTATCTTGGCATCTTCAACATCTTTATTGCAGATTCGTAGCACATCACTTACACACATAAGGAATGATCCCAGTACGATTGCAGCCCACATAGCGAGTATATGCTCCTACATATAACATTGTTGGAGCGTCGTGCCGATCCATCATTCTGTCATCGGCCGTCCCCTGGTGCGGACGTCTGTCGCACAAAAGCAACATTTCGGTAAAATCGCACGAATCCTCTATTGTATGGATTTATCGTTCAAGATTCGTGACGGATTTACTGTATTCGTTATATTGTTATTTTAATTTAGATGCTGCATTATCAGGACATCTGTCAGCTGTTTCTACATACAATGCTACTCAGTATATTTTTGCGGTGGACGAAGTGGTTTTGACGATTTAATTTTAATAGTAGGTAAAGTCGACCGGATTTTTACGGTGTCCGTTTAGTTTGTAAGGTCGTGTTGAAAATGGCGTTCTAATGTGTCCACTTTATTAATTAATATTTGTAAACCAAGGTAGATTTTCTAGCAGCATAATAGACGTGAGTAGGTTATTCATCAAACGGTCGCCGTAGCCGAAATCTGAGTGGAAGAATCATGATTTACAATAAGTATTACCATAATACATACTTACACCCGGTTTCTGAAAGGCTTGTCAACGCTAAAATTAACTAATCACCTGTTAAATCTCTTGCCAGGTCATCTGATAGTTCTGTCAACCAATCAGATGACTTGACAAGAGATTAAATTGATTTTAACATTGATCGGCCTTTCGGAAACCGGCGGTTAGTATCATAATACATTTTGAAGGCGTTTGAAACTTTGAACTACTTTATCTGGTAGCGGCTTAGGCGATGAGCGAGCTGAATATTTCATTTAGAAATGGGTACTTAACAGATTCGTCTTCTAATCCAAATAATGATATTGTTTACTATAATCACACAACAAGAAACAGGTACACTTCGTGAAATATTTTCAGGGCGCTGCTAATTTATTAGGAGGCATGAATAATTTAATAAAACCATTAGTAACAAAGCTAAAAATATTACTTTAATCTTCATTGTACTATACATATTTTAAATGCCACATAATAAATTAATTAATGATTTTATCGTCACAACATATTGCTTACTAATTAGCACCATCTACTGGTGTAGACATAAAGACTGATATAAAGCGACATCTATCCGATGAAAGTTAACATTCTGAATAAAGCGACACACAGCCCATAACAAGTTAACAACTGTTCAATTGAAAAGGTCAAGTTTATGCCGATAGATGGCAGTAGCTTCAAGTTTGTGCAAAATACGTTTACAACATGTGTATTGCATGTAAAAATAAAATAAAACAAAAAATAAAATAACATGATTTATTACCAACATCTCTTTCATTTAAAATAAATAAAATGTAAATAATTAACGAGGTGAATAAAAAATATTTACACTTGAATGTCAAGCCTTCAGTAAAGATGGCATTTTACTAGAGATTCCCAATCACTGGCTACTTGCTGCACTTATCCTGGAAACAAAAAATATTATAAGTAAAATAAAACACCAAATACAAAGCTTAGTTGTGCTTGGCAGTATGATGAATGAATTTTTATTTCTTAGCTTGCACTGTAAAAGCAATGTATACCAAAAGGCCAGTTTGTTCAATCACTATAATTGTTAAACATTGAAAATCCTCAAAATACGATATATATTACCCCTACTGGGCAAATATGAGACGTCTAGACTAGCGCCATTTGGTGATTAAAAAAACAGTAGGTATTGGAAGTACTATCAATACATACGTCGTTCATATTACTACACGACTTTTTAATTACTTTAAGTTTTTACAAGCATGCTTGGTTCTTTGTAGCTTACTAAGCCATTAATTACAACTCACTTGGCAGAGGAAATATGAAAACTCAAAGGTTTCTTTGGAGGCTAATGTGCCGGGTGACCTTACATAGCGTAGAAGTTGGAACAGGGGAGGTTTTAGTTAGTAAGAGTCTGACACTCGCTCTCGACCAGGACCGTTGGAGTTATTAAATTTAGTTCTAAAAAATGTACGCACTTGTTCCCGAGCACAGCGTTGACGGCGGCGATGACGTCAGTATGGCGCGGCAGGGCGTTGACCTCGAGGGCGCGCGCGTACGGCATCGGCACGTCGGCGCCCGTCACGCGCCACACCGGCGCGTCCAGCTCGAAGAACGACGGAGACTCCATCACGCGCGCGCATATCTCCGCGCCGATACCTGCACGAAAAATACATTAATATTACTAAGATGCACATTCCAGTTTTCCGTCATTACGCATACTTCTTTCTAGAAAATATTTTACAATGTATGTTTTTTAACACTTTAGACGCCATGGGGGCATCGGTGACCTTCATTAGCGGAGGATTTGCCTTCAACGGTTTTGTGTCAGCAGTTAACACATTCAGTGCCCCCGACGCACCTGTGCGTTCAATACATTAATGTATAGAACGCACAGGTGCGTCGGGGGCACTGAATGTGTTAAAGGCTTAATTAACATTTTACTGCATTGAATCGTTGTAATAATTTATATTTCACCCAGTAAAGTACACATTTCTTAGAGCTCTGTTGGCTTGCTAACTGAATCCAACGGTATAAAGATTTTATGAGTCTTTTTCTGCCGCTAGGCAGCGCTCGTTAGGTTTGGCAAGCTAAAATCAATTAATTTGGTTTATTCTCGTTAAGCGCTTTTTATTAATTCTGATTATGATTCTTAGGGAATAGAGCTATTTACTTGGTCAAAATTATAAGTACGTTGGCCTACATTAAAAATCAATGCTGTATCATCTGCAAACAGCACCATTCCTGGTTCAGTTCTAAATAGAAATGGCAAGTCAGTAATATAAATTAAAAAGAGAAAGGGACCCAATATAGAACCCTGGGGAACGCCCATTTTCATCTCAGAACCCTGTGAGTTAGAACCATTTATGTGAACCTTTAGTTGCCAATCCTCTACATATGATATTAAGAGCCGCAGAGCAGGGTATCTAATCTCTAATGATCTAATTTTAGCAACGTTTCATGATCATTGAATCGAAGACTTTTGAGGGGTCGCAAAAACATCGAAAGCATTCTGTGCATCCTTCCAAGCACCAAATATTTTTTTAATTTAAGTGACACCGACATCAGTTGTACATCGACCCTTATTAAAACCGTATTGTTGGCGATGGAAGATGGAATGTTTATCAAAGTAATGGAGCATCTAAGATAGCTAGTTAACTTTTCACACTTTATTAAGAGCCAGCAGAACAGATACTGGTTCATAGTCGTTTAATTCTTTAGTGTCTCCACTTTTGAATAGTCGAATAACTGTGCTATGTTTCATTAGGTTTGGGAAGACATCGTCCTAAATACTTTTATTGAAAACTAAAGCCAGATAGGGCGCTATAATTCGGATATGTAAGTGATCTGCAGACTTCTACAGATAATCCCCAAAGGTCTTCAGTTGATTTGATTTTGATTTCTTCAAAAACATTTATTATCTTTAGAGGATTAATGAACTGTTATTCAGTCTTTCTTGCATTGATGCTGATGATTCTAAATGTTCAGTTTCGACAGGTATATTAGAAATAAAAGTCTCAATCTCCTGGGCAACATCTGTTTTTTACGAAATCTGACCCCATTCAAAATGTAAACAATATTTCGAATTTGTAATCATTTCCTACCAGTCTCATTATGTATTATTTTAGATGCAGCCTTTTGCTTGTCATTAGCATTTTCGTTCAAACTTTCAGTTCTAGAGACTAGATTTCATATGAGGATAGATTTATTTTTACTGCTTGTCAGGAAATAATTTTATTTTAAAGTTCCAAATAATAAAGGAAAGTATCTAGGTGTAAATAAATAAATGACTTACCGGATTGTGGCCATCCCTGTTCGACTGTAACGAGGTGGTGTGTCTTCGAAATGGATCGCGCAATCGTGTCGAAGTCGAGGGGCCTGATGGAACGTAGGTTGATTACCTCGCATTCGATTCCTGGAATAAGTTCAAATAATACGTTATGTTTTTTATTATAATACAAATCGTTATTGGTGGCTTCATTTAGTTTTTCACGTATGGATTGACGTGTAAAAGTGCCGTTTTATGGCCTATTTGCAAAAATAAATTCATTGTTTCATTGTTATTCACCGGTCAACCGTCCACTTCTCATTCATGACGGATTCGACTCGAAAGGTATCAATGGGACTGCTTCCGGGTTATATGTATTTTCTAAGATTATTTAGATATCACTGGTAGGAACATATAGATAGGGAACTAGGACTTAAAAAAAATATAAGTAAAATTATAAGTTAGAAATCGCCCGTCCGACTTGAGCAAGCGCAGTAATTAATGCTCAAACATTCTCCGTTTGAGAAGAGGCATTTGCTCAGAATTGGACGTCTATCTTGGTCTGCTAATGATAAGATTTGATAAATTACAGGGGCAGATTTGAATATGATGATGTCCATAATTGAATGCTATGTATTTGCTTACTTTTAGAGCGGAGCAAGCGTAAGGTTTAATCATAGTGACTGATAAAAAAGTTAAATTACCGGTACAACATTAGAAAAACGAAGGAATTAAACTTTAAGGCAACATATCTCACTTCATAAAAAAGCGAATTAAAAAGCAATAGGGTATCAATCTTAACATTAAGACAGAAAATATACAATACATTACAATAAATTGTTTTCTTACCTGAGCTTCGCGCGAGTTCCTTGGCAGCGTTCAACGCTGTGTCAGTTCCTCGACCGGCGCATACTAGTGTGATGTGTTTACCTTCCCTTTCAACCTTAGCTTTACCTGAGAAGTTAATTCATTTATTATGTAGAGTTTGCATAGCTTATATAATAATTATTATTTCACAATGTATCTAAGAATGTCATATACAACGAGGCTCGAGGGAGACGCTAGTCTCAGTACCAAGCGTGCCATAAGGGCTCTGGAGCAGGTCTATAAGAGGACTCCGAATCCTTTACAAGTAGGTGCTGAGCCTCGTGACCTGAGGTAGTGGCCTCCACTCCACACTCCTTAGTATTTGGCCCCAAAAACTAGGCGCCTTTTGATGTATTGCCCCCGTAAACAAACAAAAGGTAAATAAGAATGTGACTAGCCTGTCATATATGTAACCGATTGGTCGACAAAATGAGCTTCAAGCTTCGTTACATATACTTTAAACATCATATTGATATCTCAATTAAGTGATTAGTATTTTAAAATTTGAATTGTAGTATATCATGAATTTCTGAGTTGTTTTGCCGTGTGACTGAGGTTACTACTGGAAGCCCGATCCTCCTTCCAAAACCCCCAAAATACCGACAATTCGCTCGTAACTCATCTGATGTTGCGTCCATGTGGTGTTCATGGGCAGTGCCGATTGCTTACCATCAGATAGTCCATCCGTAAAAATGTTATTTACTTCGCTTAGCTTCGATATTTCCTTGTTTTCTTTCATCCTACTAATATTATAAATGTGAAAGTTTTTGAAAACATTTCACAAGGTTTCACTTTCATTAACACATAGACTTTTTATCAACATACTACGAGGGCGAAACCACTGGTATTCCCAAGTCTACTTATAACCTATAATTTTGATGTGCGATATTTTAGTAGAGTACATTTGGTAGTTGGACCTTACCTATTGGGACTACGAAATTGGAATCGAGTGCCTCATCAGACATGGGGAATGGAACACCGTAAAGAATTTCATCTTCTAATACTACAACTGGGTCTAAACTCCTGACAGCTGCCTTGAGAAGACCTGGAATAAAGCAAAAAAGTATTTCGAAGTTATTATTATTTGTATGTCTTAACCAATCACGGCATCACAGGATCCTGGCCGGACATTTGGGAGGCGTACGGGGGCCGAAGCCAACTCGCTCCCCTCCCTCAATCCCTAAATCCCCAAAATGTCGGAAACGCACTCGGTAACTCTTCCGAAGTTGTGAGTGTCCATGTGCGGGAATGATTGCTTATCATCAGGTAATCCGTAAACACGTTTTCCGTCGTATCACATAAAAAAAGATTCTTACCCTTAGCATCTTCAGAAGTGTAAGGCATGAGGACTTTCAAGCCGGGACAGTGGCTGTACCAGGCGGCGAAGCACTGCGAGTGCTGGGCAGCCACGCCCGCCGCCGCTCCGTTGGGGCCACGGAACACAATGGGCACTGGTAACGCTCCAGCTGACATGTAGAATGTCTTCGCTGCTGAGTTTATTATCTGCAAATCGGATAAAAATAATGTAACCACTTTTTATTGAAGAGGAAAAATCATTAAAAATCACTGTTATCGCCTTGAGTGAGGCGGGATGGAGTCTCAAGACTCTTATTGACTAAAAACCATCCCATTCCTTTTCCTGGAAATCTATTTACATCTCGAATTCTATTTACCCAATTTCTAGTATGTTTATATATCTAGCAAAATGAATCTATTTACCATAAGTTGCCTAAACAAGGAATGAAATGGTGAAATGTAATATAACACTTATGAAATAAAAGCTATTCAAATTTCTTTGATTGTTAATTACAAGTAAAAGGATAAGTAACAGTTTCATGAGATATTTTTCAGGTAAATCATCTTTCTAATCAAAATGTTTTATTCCATGTAAGCAAGGCAGCAATAATTAACTAACATAATGAAGTCTTAACTTAGTTTAGGTAAAAATACAAAAATGATTACAATGGGTATGAATCTATGTTATTCAAATAGGCAATTACATAAAAGTCATCCGAGTTACATAGATTGAATAACATTCAACTTCATCAGTTGCACTTGAGTTGACATTCGCTTTGAAATTCACATGTAGCACAGATTAGATAAATTATCTGCAATCTGATGTCTGTATATTTATTTATGTAATCATGTTATACTAGACTCGGGAGTGTTATCTTATCTATGTCCAACTTGCTTTTTATTTATGTTCACAATCATTTTAATAGTTACAATTATTTATTTGTTATTAATACAATGGTTTTGGTAGACATTTTAATTTGTTATCTTTTCCGCAATGTTGTTATATAAATCTTAGTGTGTGTATTGTTTGTTTATACATCTCCACATTCTTTCAACTGAAGAGAACTGCTACTGAGCTGTAGCTATGCTGGCTCCTTTCTTATTGAATAGTGATTATTAACTAATCTTTTAGAAACTTAAAGGTCTGATGTTACACATTTAAAAATAAATTGATCACTTAAACTAATTTGATTGAGGTCAATCAAATCAGTTTTTTTTTGTTTTAGTTTAGCTCTACTTTTGATTTGATCTCATAAATCTAATCAATCTGGCTGTGATTTATTCATCAGCTACCAAACTATATAATGCACCTGCTGCTTCATTATTTGCTCTGATTCTGTGTCACAAAGACTCTGTGCACAGTACCTATGCTTACAATACATCATTATAGTTTCATAACATTGACATTAGTGTCAATTGTATCCAATTGTAAGCTGATTGGCTTGAATGTACTGAGGTTACTGTTTTAAATCAGATTTTTTCTAAAAATAACACAATACTGAATTGTTTATAAAGCAATAATATTATACTGTCTTTTGGCTGCTGTTCACTTGCATAGATTATAAGCAATTTTGACAGTAAAAAGTTCCTTGTCATTATTGAAAAAAATATCAAAAACAACTATTATCAGAATGAATAAAGATATTTAAATACTAGTCAGTAACTCCATTTTATTGTTCATGACTAAGAAATAATTTCTTCTTTCATTATTGAGAACTCTCCACTAAAGAAGGCACATAATTGTAAGTGCCTTTCTTGTGTTTAATAACATATTAATAACTATAAAATAAAAACTTACATGGTCAATAGCTTGCATAGAGAAGTTGAATGTCATGAATTCACAAATAGGTTTGAGACCAGCGAATGCAGCACCAACAGCAATACCGGCAAAACCGATTTCTGTGATTGGTGTGTCTATTACTCGCTTGTCACCGTACTTCTTCCATAGTCCTCTGTAATTCGAAGATAAAACATTTTTCTAAGGCACCTTAACAAATTGCTTTTAAGATTAAACTTATTCTTTGAAAAATTGTTTGAACAACTGTACAAGACACACCTTTCCTTGATGATTTGAAATAACTTTAATACAGAAAATGATTAAATGCAACAGTATGTTATTCTCAACTATTTTTTTAATGTTTTTCTGTGATGAAAATTAGATTAATTATCATGAAAATAAAAACCAAACAATTGATAAACAACATTCAGATTAAGACATAACTTAGTACAATAGGTATAATTTACAACTCAAGACATTTCCCATTCACTGTGTATAGGTTTTTAATACAACCTATTATTTGAAAGTTTTAGCAAATTTTTTGGTTATGTAACATTACAATGTTTTCAGCAATCAGAAATTTATAAAAACAATTGTGATTTACAAGGTTGATTGAAAATTTTTATAGGGTATCTTTAGGGAACTGTCTTTTAATACATGACACTGTAAAACACGTCTTTGGAAGGTTATAAACGGCGTTTATTGGTTACCTGGTCACCTTGTAGGCTCCGTCATATTGGGCCACTTCTTCGCCCAATATGAACACCTTGTCGTCTCTTTCCATCTCCTCATCAATCGCACTGTTGAGGGCATCACGCACAGTCATAGGCTTAGCAGCTAAAGCGCTAGAAGTAGAGAAATGCCGAGGCAACCGAGAGAGCCACCCGAAAATAACCGGCGAAGATTTCAACGCCATTTTCATTTCAAAACTAGCTTATAATAAGTTTGAGCTTAACAAAAACTACACCAATGAACCTCCTAAGAGACTTTTATAGTGATTTTTGTAGAAAATGGTGGTAAAGGTAGTATTTTGATGAGACGAAGGATGAATGGAGGTCGTAATTAGTGTTGCCCGGTCCAATCCACGTTTTCCCAAACGTCAAATTAATTCATTCCTTTAGATTGCACGTAGGAAATTCCATATTATGTTTCAATTTGTTATTGTTATTCAAAAGAATATAATCATTTATTTCATTTCTGTAAAAATAAGAACTGTATTTTGTTACTTAAAAGAGGATAAATTTTAAAGATAACTAATATAAAATTCAACTATTTTCAACTTTTGGCAACATTGGAAATGTGTATGAGCTGTCAACTGTCAATTCTTCGATGCGTTTTCCGTTTTGTTCAGGGGCTTGAATTTGAAAAAGGTGAGTACCGGTTAAAATATAGTACCTATCGTTAAGTCTAAGACAAATATCGTTATTTAATTAATAATGTCATTATATCGGTCGTTGTATGTAGAGAATTTTATCTTTGACATACTTATTTATTTATTTATTAAGAAAATTTACATAATTATACAACATTACAGCTTACGCCATGAAGTTATACTGTTAATTTTATATAAATACTACTAGGTAAGTACTTAAAAAAAACTAATTAGGATTAAATACAAAAAAAAAACAGTACAAATTTAAAAAACTAAATAAAAGTACTTAATAAAACTATAACAAGAGAATAACAAGATTGGTAATCATAGTAACTTTAAACTAAAACAAACATTATAATTTACCTACCTATCATACATCCTCTCACAATATCTAAGACATTCACGACACAGATCTATCCATCTCATTGCAAACAAATCACACTCTGGCGCTGACATCAGGAGAGAATTGAGCATGGTGATAACTCGGACCAGCGGAGAATTTGCATGGGCCACTGCACGTGCCTCTGGTACAGCCAATAAGAGATGTTGACGCGGCCGAAGTTGGTGTGTAAGCAGCCTGGGTACTGATAACCGCTCCACCTGTCCTACTATCTCTGGACAGTCTGATTCACCACGCGGCGTCTTACAGCTCATAATCATTAAGTAATAATTAAGCCTCGCCTCAGGAGAGTTAAACTGCAACATGCCCAACAAAAATTTAATGGGGTACAGAAAAGGGAAATCGTTTTCTGTACAAAAACCTCAAAAACGCTTTTTTGGTCTTTACCAGCATGAGAGCGTAAGACAAGTAATATCATGCGGATTCCATACGAGAGATGCAGATTCTAGCTTACTTCTAACCAAGGTCATGTACCTACACCAGTTTGATAGCTGTTATGCTTTCAAATTCGCGCATATTACGAATTGCAAATCCTAACCTACGATAAGAATCGCTAGTAACCGTTCTTATGTGGTCATGAAAAGATAATCGAGAATCGAACAAAACACCCAAATCCAAAACGTAATATTAATATCTTCTATATCCATTACGTACTTTTTAGTTAATATTTTTTTTTATGTTTGATCAGGTAATTAGTAAACTAATTTAGTTTACTAATTACCTGATACTTAGCAATCGGTGCCGGCCATGGACACTCGCAACACCAGAGAATGTACGAGTGCGTTGTCGGCCTTAAGGGATTGGAGTTTCGTTTTGTTGTTTGGGCCTCCACTAACCTCAATCACTAACTTACCTACTGTGAAGTTATTTTTAAAATACCTAGATAGTCCCAAAACACTTTTTGTTTAGTTAAGTTTTCTTAGCATTAGACTCAGGTCTCACTGAGTTGAGATTTGATTGGGGTCTAGCGACGACGATATAACCTCGTTGGTCATATCCTCTTTGGGGTCTAGCTATATTAGTAGGAAGTATATTACTATATAGTAGGTAGTTTCTGGAGCATTAGAGTTTCTTACCCAGATGAACTACCAGGCCTACATAATGTAATGATTTCATGTGCTTAATTTTTCTTCCTTCGATCACCTATAAAACTATGAATAATGTAGGAACAATTTTCACTCTCCTCTATCGTTTTCTTAGATGTCAATAAAATTTATTATGTTCTCCAAACTAAGTCAAGGTCTTATTCTATTCAGTTAGGTCCCTAATCCACTGAATTATAGGCAACTGTTATATGGGGCGCACTTTTATTGCCATATATCCGCCTCGGGATATCCTCAAGTAAAAAGGTCATCAACAACAAGGCCAATCGCTTTTAACACTTCTTTTAAGCATTTTTTATTGCTATTATTAGAAAACTATTGTCTAGTTATAAGCATAGATATTTATTACAGCGTCAGAATAATATGTTTGAACTACTTCATAATAGAAAATTTTAATTACGCCCCCCAGAGTTAAAAAAAAAACTCGGCAATTTCTGTTTTCTACGTTTTTCAGTTTGACCAAACTTTTTCTCATTCATAAAAGCGCTGTCATTATAGCTCTCCTGCTAATTATACTCGCCAGAAGGTCGGGTAACGGCCCACCCCATCGTAACTCTCTTACCTTTTCCCTCACATCATTAATTATCCCCATAGGATTCTAAAACAGGATTCTCGTAAATAAACTAATATGTGTGCAGACTTGGGTCGACCGCCCTGGGCCGCGGACGTAGCTGTGCCCCAGTGATCGCGATAAGCGAGGATGTTGCTCTTATCTTTAGTTAATGGTCTTCTATGTTCCGAACAGTTTGTAGGTCTATACCTAATTACCTATCAGTCAAAAAGTCCAAGGCTATGTCGACTAAAGGTGCTAAAACTAGGATAAGAATGGCGCATAGGGACATCTAATAAATCAAGCGAGTCTTTATCCCTATAAATAAAATTGTTTCAAATCATAACCATTTTACTTTATTTTCTTCTTGGCAGTTTAATGAGATACTCATTATGCAGCGAATTTTTGCTTGTCTTGATTGATTACTTGGAATAGGAAATTCGTTTAATCTTCTAATTATCATAATAATGTTCATACCGTATCTACTGAGGTCACTCGCTTGCCGCTAATTTCTGGACGTGGCCCAAAATGCGGCCAAAAACAGTCTGCCATTAAATCTTTACAGTTGCAAGCGGCCTTGGCCCACTTACCCTTAGCCTGGTAACTCTTTACCGGAAAATCGTATCTTACAAGTAACGTAACGTTACGGGTTTACGTTCGCGTCAGAGGAATCCTTGTAAAAATTGCAAGATAACCATAGATTGAGCACTTTCAGTCGCTTAATGGTCATGCGACGTTTCAGGTAATGGCAGTTTTATTTGCATCGATAAACGCTTAACTGTCAACCTTACACGTGTAGAACAGCTGAGTTAACCTCTGTCTAAAAGGATTACATTTTGTTATTTCTGATTAGACACATTATCTCCAAGGACCTAGGGCATCTATTAACAGTTAGTTCTGAAGATGGTCATAATGTTTCCCATTTTTTGGGTCATCAATGTCATTATAAATTGTCACTACGATGCAGATGCGTTATTTCATTATTAATTACTGATTATTCATCGAGTTATTGAGGCCCACTAATTCAAACGACAAAAGGGAAAAAGATCAGCCTGTGTTGCTTTAATTAATAGCCAGATGCTTAGCAGGTTTGAAGCCCAGTTTTCAAACTCCGTTTCAACAAGTTTAAAGCAGTAACTTCTCGTAGCCCGTTGCCCACCTCTAAAACACAACCTCCTTAGTCCTGAAACCTTGAAACTTATAAGCCTTTTGTAACCAGGTCAAGTGTTGCTCTCATATAAAAAGATATTTTTTTATTTTGTGCAAAATCTGTGAATGTTTGTGTATTTGCATAGAATTGTTTAAAGGGACTGTTTTGTGTTAAATTGGGTTTAGGAAGCCTAAAATATATTTGGATATGACCTAAATATTGTTGTGTAAGGTAATTAAATGTCGCAATGTTTGGTATAGACGTTATGACTGCTAGTGATTTGTTTTTGAATGTAAGCTATCTTATTACCTAATATAAGCTATGTTATGATAGTGAACGTTCATAACGTAGTTAAATTCTAAATATTTAGTTACCTAACTCAAGTACTAATACTTGTTAAATTTTTGAGTGGCAACCTTCAATGAGCATGGTTTTTAAGGTTAATGCTAGAGAGTTTTGTATTTCTACCTCACTAAACACAATCAGCATTTTTAAGGGATGCTGGGTCTTCAAATTGTAGATAAATAATATGTTTAAATAGTCCATTTATTTCATACCTATTTAATTTCTTTTTGTTAGATTAAATATAATCATGTTAGATATATTATAGGAATTTGCATTAATGTATTGTGTTGTATTTTTTAAGTATTGTTGTCGCGATGGCTATGGAACCGGCTGCAGCGCAAAGTGTTGTGGGATCCTCAAAGCGTTGTTTCGGGTCTGGGTGTCATGTGTATTGTGTGTGACGTTAACAAAGATACGTTAACAAAGATATTGTATCTTTGTTAACGTACCCATGATACATGAGAAAAACCAAGTATGGGGAAATGTTTAAATGACGCTTAACCGGTGATATCACGAGCGTAGATACGCGAGACACAATGTGTTTTCTATTGTGTCTCATATCACGGCAGACAAGAGGTTAGTTGTTTAGAATCTATTCTTAGTCTTCTCTGAATCACCCTTGCCTCTGGTACCTAGATAATTCCTTTCAGCATTAATTGTAACGCGTCCAATAAATAAATAAATGAATAAATATATACATTTAAACCCGACGGTATTAATACTGGCAAAAGTTAAACCAAAAATGTTCCAAACTACGTTAACGTGCATATCAAAAACCCAGTAATATAATTCTTTGTACAAAATAGCTTGTACCCGTAGCAATATAACATGACAGATATTTCCGAGTGATTTATTGAAGAAACCATCTCGTATGCAAATATGTCGAATGTCGGGTAAACACGGCGCTCCCTCGGGAAATCCGAATATGCGGCGAACTAGCGAACTAGCGATCATAGTGAGATGTAGCGCCTGCCGGCTTTTTTACCGTCAGTCAACTGTGAAACGGCGTGAATAGAGAGATTATTGTTTTGTTTTTGTGTTCCACATGTTAAAATATTATTGGACGTAAAATTAGTAGACGTTCTGGGTTCACGCTTAGTGCTTAGTCCATTGGCGAGCGTGATACAGCTGTGCTGGAGAAGACGGCGCTAGTGGATATCTTCTTTT